GAAGGGCACCTCCCTTGGCTGAGGTTACTGGCATCATGGAGACAACGTGGTGGCCTGCATGAGCTTTCCTTCTTGGGATTTAAGATTTGCTTTGTTTTGTGATGCACCACTGATCTGTGCATGCTCGGTGAGTCCTGGGAAGTAAGGGGCCCCCTTTTCTCTTTTCTTGCTACGGATTCCTCATATTAGTCTTGTGAAGTGCATTATTCCATCCCTTTACAGCCTCAGTTTCCAGGTGTGTTTCCTGAAGCAGCCGCATCCGACTTTCTGCTTGGCAGGGCCTCTAGTTCCCGCGTGACTGTGCACCCCCCCTGGCCCTGGGTCCCGCAGGCTTGCAGCACCGGCCCCGGTCTTCACTGGTACTGGGGAAGCATGGCAGTTGATGTCTGTGTCCTGTTCGGGAAACAGTTTCCCCTTCAGCTGGTCTCCTTCAGCACTTAACTCTGTCCCTGATTCATCTTTTTAATCCCATGTTACATAACTGTGGTGGTTTTTTATATATATAAATAGTTAATGAGTATGCATCATTTTTATTCATATATGTAAGAATCGTAGTTGCCAAAGGATTAGAGGTATTTTGTGGATTAAAATACAGCACATGAGACAACAGCTTGAAGAAATTCTTTCTGAAGACAGTATGGGAAGGGGTTTCCAAGCTCTTAAGCTGAGTGGCCTCTTGCCAGGTAGCTTGGCTTTTTAGTATCATTATTATTTTTAATTTTGGTAAGGGCACTTACCATGAACTCTGCCCTCTTAAAGCGCTGTGTGTACAGTAGTGTCAGTGACTGCAGGCACAGGGATGTACGTCAGATCTCTATAGCATGCCCATTTTGCATTCCTAAAGCATTACGTTGCCCAGAAGCTTTCTACTAGGTAAGGCAAATGAGAGATGCCAGCAAGATTTCTGGTTTTGCACAGCTCCTTTTGGAAAATGTGTTCATGTCCATCCACTGCTACGAAATCTAAGCTGTTGAGCCTCCTTACAGGCTCAGCTGCAAGCCCCCCCAAGGGCTTGCAGGATGCAGCTATTTTCATCATACCCTGGAGTGTGATGCGATGCCCAACTCCTTGAGGAACAAGACTTATCGTTCTCCCCACCTGCTTCTTTATCATCATGGAATTCCTCCAGTTTTGTTTTTTCTATCCTTAACCCTTTTTTTCCCTTTCACCAAATTCTTATTTTTAGACTAAGAAGCCAGTCACCCATAAATGACCAAGAAGGTCTTTTCCTGGTTAAAATATCAGAAATATTGGCATTTCTTGGAACCCTGAATTTCACAGTCTCTCTCCCCAAAATTTGCCACCACCCCCATGAAAGGGATTTGCCAAATTTACAAAGATGCACGTAATGAAAGAACTTGGAACTTTTAGGAATTGGAACACTGATTGGTTTTGCTTCTAGATATTTGACGTAGAAGGGTGCAGTCTTAAATACTGCTATTTAGGGTGATTGGCCAACGTTTGTGGGTGGGAGGTGACAAAATTGGCCGTAATAACCCTAGAGTAATTTACTTATATTGTAGCACTATTATGCCTTCCTTAATGGCTTCACGAACATTTGAAATGAGCAAAGCCAGTGTCTGCTGTGGCCCGAGGTGGACTGTGTCCCAGCAGTGCTACCATGTGATTGTACCAGGAGATGTCAAAAAGAAGAAAGCAAGAAAGATGACGGGAGAGCAGTGCCCCCTTTCCAAGGAGAAGGAACTGAGGTTGCCTGTGGCCTTGGGCCCACCGTGGTCCTCCCAGAGCCAGGACAGGGCTGGACGTGGCCTCACGCACACAGATTGAACGGGTTAGGGGAATGAGTCTGCAGGGCCTCCTCCACAGAGGGCCCCCCCAGTGGAAGGGATGGGGCCGGCCAAGCCCCTAAGCGTGGCCTTCAGAGTGGGGGCCCGTATAACTGGAATGGGGAGGCCTGGGGAGGCTCCCCCTGGGGAACAGCCATCAAGTCCTCACACTAAAGAGTGCTGTGCCCATTTCTGCGGGCTGGCCCTGCGCCATTTAGAGACCAGGCATTCTGTGGCCTCAGCTCCTGCTGGGCACTGGCCCACCTTCCTAAGTGGCCTCCTCGGTCCGCTTTGCTGCCCTGCAGCCTTTTCTTGACCCAAAGCAAAGGTAGTTCTTTTTAAAAGGCAAGCCAGGTTATGTCACTGTCCCCTTGCCCAGTCCTAGCTTGTTTGCCCTTTGAATGGCAATTCAGATGGCACCTGCCCGCCGTCTGCCTGCGGCTGCCTGGGCCTCTGCTCACACGCCCTCTTCCAGCCCCGCAGACCTGCTCTTTCTGGCTCCTGCCGCACTTCCACCCTGGGGCCTGCACTTCCCTGGGTCTGGAATGCTCTTCCCGTCTTTGTGTGCCTGCCTCCTATTACCTGTCACCCTCAATGCAAAACCTTAGAAGAGGCTCCGAAGTAAGTGACCTGCTCCCCAGGATCCGTGGTAATGACTGGTTTTTAAATTTGCAAACCGCTGCAGACTGATATTTGTGTGAACTGTGGCGGAGACGGCCACAGTGTCAGTACGTGCGGCCCACCACCCAGGCCAGGTGCTTGGCTTAGCAGATCGGACCAGCACAGGGTGGGCACTGCTGGGGGTGGCCACATGCCTCCTGGGCGCTGATGCCCTCTGCATCAACACTGGAAACTGCCTCTGGCTTGTGTTGTGTCTCCCCAGTGGAATGTCAGCTCTGCAGTGGCGGGGAGCTTGTCTGGGACGCGCCCCACCTCCCTCCGCAGTACCAGCATAGAGGTGATGCGCACCGGCCAGGGGCCTGGTCAGGGCCTCCCTGACGCTCCTGCACCTGCTGAGCCTGCCCAGCCCAGAGGCAGGAAAACTAGGGGGCCCAGGTTCCCTGCTCCCCCGGGTGGGTCTGCCTCATCGCCACACCCAGGGTCATGGAGTCGGGCCTGAGTCACTCTTACAGTGACTGGAATAAAGTAATTTGGCGATGTTCCTAGCTCACTGGCGACCTTGACCCAGGGGCTCCATTTCCATGTTTGTAAAGTAGGAATGGCCTTTCCTTCTGCCACCAAATCAGGAAATGTGCTCACTCACACTTTGTGAGCTCCAAAATGCTGCCCTGGAGAGGCTTCGCAGCTATACACTGATTTTGTAACTAAAAAATGATGATTTTCTCGTTGACTCTTTTTACTGAGGCTAAGTGCAGTTTAGCAGACGTTTTCTGTAAAGGCCACATGCTAGATATTTTAGATGCTGCGAACCATGTGCATCTCGGTTGGGTTTTTGTTTTCGTTTCCCTACTCTTAAAAAATATAAAAGCTATTTTTAGTTCGACTGCCATAGGGAAGCAGGCCCGGGTGAGGTTTGCCAATCCCCTTATGATAGGCAATTGGAATTGTATTTCTGTGGGACTCCTTAGCTGTTGTTTTCTGTTTGAGTGAAATAAATGTGACCTGCAACGGTTTTATTTTTCTTGGGAATTGGTCCTCTTGCAAAAAATGTTTCATCATTGTAGTCATGCTTTCTACTCATTCTCTCTCATTTTCAAGTGCATTATAAACATTAATGCAATTTGCAACTGCTACCCCTGAATACAGAATCATAGGTCTCCAGCCGGGTTGGCGGTTTGTGTAGGAGAGCCCATGGGCAGACCATGTTGAGCTACGATGTGCCCTCAGACCTTAAAGATCCACCTAGAGCACATTCTGATAATAATGTATTTTTGTCTGCCATTCAAAATAGGTTGTGTTGTTAATTTCCTGACGTTTTCTGCCAATTTACCTGTGCATAGACATCTGATTAAAGCTCCAATTGAATACAGAAGAGATACCTTCATTCTTATTTCATTTCCTATAAATAGCCAGCCATGAGTGGTTTTGAGGCCAAGTTTTCATCACATTGTACACTTTCTAACTGCTTGGTTACAAGTAGGGCCTGGGTACAGGGTGTTGTGAAACGGCCCCTGCCGGGTTCTCCGGACTCCTGCAAGTTTCTCTTACCCTCTGCGAACCATTCTTGACATTCAGTGTTGCCCATCTTCCAATTTTTAAAAAAATACTCCTTAGTTTCAAATTTTAACAAAGTTCTCTAAAGTTGGCAAGGTAATAGATCTAAGAAAAATAGTAATTCAAAAACAAAACTGATAAAACAGGGTGTAGGTATCTCCAACTTATTTCTTTAACTCTGACACGTTTTGGGGTCACCGGCTGCTAAGAGGCTGATGGTTTACTGGCAGTGCGTGATCTTAGCCGCAGCCCAGCGTATTTAAGAGTAATTTAAGACTAGACTCAGAAGCCAGCTGTGCTGCCTGCTAGCTGTATGATGTGGGGCAGAAAAACCACTCTGAGACTCAGTTCCCCATCTGTAAGGCTGGGCTGAAAAAGAACCTTCTGCATAGAACTACTATGAGTTCTAAATGAATTCATACATCCCTGGTACATAGTTAGTGCCATGTAAGCATTCGTTATTTGTATTTATTGAGGGGAAGATACATGTTCACCAATACATATTCATGAATAACATTCTGCAATGAGTTGAGTTTGAGCTCCTCAGTTCTTGTCCCAACGCAGGAAAAGGCAGAGACACAGCAGCAAAGCAGAGCTAACACTTTATTTGATGCCCTCCAAAGGAGGAGTGGGCCAGAGTCGAGGCAGACAAAGGCCCCGAACTTTTCGGTGGGCAGCTCGTCTGTGGCATCCCATCTAGGAGGCTCCTCTGGGACTGGAGCGGGGCTATTTGATGTACAGGTTCATCTGCACAGCCTCTCTCGGTGGGCATGCCCTTTCCCCACACTGAGCTGTGATGTGGGCAGGTGTAATCGTGCCCGTGGGGTCTGGTTGGGGAGGCACTTACCTCCCTTTGTTGTCTCCACATGGGACCTGGGCCGAGTCTGGGGGGCTTCCTCTTTGAACCTTATCTGGGGGGCTTCCTCTTCGAACCTTATCTTCCACTTTCCGTCTGCTCACGTCTATCTTTCTACCAAAGAGCTCCACATGGGAAATTCTTATCTTTGACTTCTTTGCCCTTTTAAATTTTCTCTATAGGCTTTCGTGGAGGCCCAGAACAAGATCACGGTGCCATTTCTCGAGCAGTGCCCTATCAGAGGTTTATATAAGGAGCGAATGACTGAACTGTATGACTACCCCAAGTATAGCTGCCACTTCAAGAAAGGCAAACGGTATGTGAAGTTGCTTTCATTTCATTTTCGTTTTACTTTTCTCAGCGAATGCGTTCGTAAGTTTTAGATTGCAAAAATTGTAAATAATTGATCAGTTTCTAAAACGAATTCATTATGAAGTCAGCTCATTTCTATGCTTGACCATGAGAATAATGTTTTTGGTCTATTGTCCAGATTCTTAAGATAAGGATTTGATAAGAAATTTAATAGAGACATTACGTCTTGGAAAGAAATCTAGATGGCAGGAAATTATTGTTGTCTATAGCTAGTAAGTAAATAATGAGACAGGAGGTTTCACAGACAACAAGAGATGCGTTCGGCGCTAAAATGAATTCACTTTGGCTTATTCCAAGTTGAGAAGATTTTATCATGTGCATTTTTCCCATCCAGGAATGGAAATGGGCCAGGAGGTGGCACCTATTTTTTCACTCTTTCTTGTTCCTCTCTCCCCTTCACATCCACTTAAATGTACTGTCTAATTCTTCTCTCAAGTCTGGAACCACTGTCACAAAAAACTATATAGGGATCAACAAAGTACGATCTACATGCCAAATCCTGCCTGCAGCCTGTTTTATAAAAATTTAAATGGCACCCAGACTTGTCCATTCACTTACGTATCATCCACAGCTGCTTTTGTGCAACTGCAGAATTGAGTGGTAGCAACAGAGGCCATGTGGCCCACAAAGCCTAAAACATTTGCAGTCTTGCCCATGACAGAAAAGTTGCCAACCCTATCCTAGCAGCCAGCCTAGGGGACGGAGCCAGCATTACATTTTAGAAATTCTCCTTTCTTCTCCACTGAAAAGGAGAAATTACTGCTTTATTTGTATATCAGTTTTAATTTTAGTGAGCAAAGAAAACAGTCTTTATTTGTTACCTTCATCAAATATGCAGAATTGCAATGACTGATTTGAATACCTAAAGCAATTTAGATAACAAACTCTAGGTACAGGGAGATGGTGGGACCTTCCGGCTTATTCCCCATGTCCTCGGAATGGCCTGTTTGCAGTGGGACCTTTGTATGTTTTTCTTCTTGCTTTTTATGTGTTTGATTTTACTACTACATGAATAGAAAACTCCACAGCTAAATAAAGACCATCTCTGCCCCCCCAGGTATTTCTATTTTTACAATACAGGTTTGCAGAATCAACGTGTATTGTATGTACAGGATTCCTTAGAGGGCGAAGCCCGAGTGTTCCTCGACCCCAACACGCTCTCTGATGACGGCACCGTGGCGCTGCGAGGTGAGTGACCCTCAGCCAGGCGCACAGGAGACTCCGGGCCCTCCCTCACTAGCGGCTCCGAGTCGGCGCAGGCCCTCCCCTCTGAAATGCAGACAGAATGTGTGCCCTACTGCAGGATGGAGGCCCATGCGACATCAGGACAGCTGATTTGTATTTAGGACACACGAGCAGTCACATGTTCTACTGATGGCATGAAGCAGCACGAGAGAGTAGTTCACACTGGACCCATGTTAGTTTCAAGGGGCTTCTGGAATCTTCCGGTAGTCTTATCATTTCCTGTGACATCTCTGAGACCTCTCTGTGTTTGGGAAAAAAATATTCTGGAAGTAAGTGAAGCTGTATAAAGAATGTTCCAACTCTAAATATAAAACAGGAAAGAATATTTATGAGGTCTGTTTCCTTGGCGGTGGGGGGACTGATCAGAGTCTTAATTGCTAGTCAGTATATTAGAATTAAAAGCAAAGAAACACAATCTTGTAGAAGTCCGATGACATAGTAGCCTGTGCCACAAATATGCAAGTTTTATATGTTTTGCCTCGGTTGCTGTGTCTCCTGCATAACTCTGCCCCCAACGTAACCTCCTCTGCAGCCCATCCAGGTGATCAGCCCTGCTCTGTGCCGTAAGCACGTGTTCTACGTAGGGAAGCTGGCTGTTCTCTGGTTCTGTGGTTTAGTAACTGTACACTGAGAATCATCTCATCAGCATCCTAGATGTTTTTGGTGAAGTTAGCCAGCATTTCCCCTGTAGCATCTTCTGTTTTGGAGAGAAAGCACCTTGTAGATTCAGCCCTGCGGAATTCAGCACTTTGAACACAGAAGTCCTGTAACCAATTAGGTGGAAATTAAAGAGCCCCATCCCACCAGATCTGTGCAAAGGTCCCTTCGTGGTTCCCCTCATTCTTTCACCAAATAAGCTATGTATGAAAATGGTGACCCATTATCCGATTAGTATTAAAAGTAATCAGTATTGAAAATAAGGTGCCAGCCAGCTTAGTAAGAATGTCCTTCCGTGGGTTTGAGCTTGGAGTTATAAATGAATTTACTAGACTGGTTCTGTGCAGTCTGTACCCAGTGTAGGAATTCCTTTAGTTTCCACAGAGGCCATCCTGTAACTCATTCAGAAGGACTCTGGTATAAAGGGTCTCACTGTTGCTCTGATCATTAATTCTAGTCACTTTTTTATGGAATGCGTGTCATGCACAGGACCTAGTGGATGAAAAGGGAAATTAGACATGAGTCCTAGCCTCAGTCCTTGAGTTTTCTGAAAATGGTATTACAGAGACATTATAATATGGGTAAACATTCAGATTATTTTAATAGTATATGACTTTTTATTTCAAATGAAAATGTTTTCTTTAAATTTTTCCCAAAATTTTTCTAATTACATATAAATAATTTATGTTGAATTAAAAAGTGGGTATTTTCTTCCCATCATGTCCTAGGCTATTTTCTGCATTTCTATACCCACCTGTATGAGCCCAGATAGTTCATAGGAAGTCCCAGATGAGCTCTGCTTTTAACTGAACCACTTTTTGGGTTTATAGAAATTTAGAAATGGAAGCATCTTAGCGGTCATGTAATCGACAGCTTCATTTTACTGATGAAGAAACTCAGACATGGAGAGGTTGGGAAACCTGTCCGAGGTTGTAAGGTGCCCTGCTGTAAACCTGGGCTCAGCGCCGAGTTCCTCTCTACCAGTTTCCTGGCCTTACGTTGCTGCTTTCTGCTCTGTGTATGACGGAGAGATCGGGCCGAGGGCAGGGGGCGGCAGGCCAGGCCAGGAGCTGTGTCCTGGCGCTCCCTCTCTGAGGATTCCTCCTGTGTCCCTTAGGCTATGCGTTCAGTGAAGATGGCGAATATTTTGCCTATGGACTGAGTGCCAGCGGCTCAGACTGGGTGACGATCAAGTTCATGAAAGTTGATGGTGCCAAAGAGCTTCCAGATGTGCTGGAAAGAGTCAAGTTCAGCTGCATGGCCTGGACGCATGATGGGAAGGGAATGTTCTACAACTCATACCCTCAACAGGATGGGAAAAGTGACGGTAAGTTAAGACTTAAGGTGCAGCACCTTTCCCATGAAATAAAAATGTGACTTAACGATTTTCAAAGAGACACTAAACCCTACATAGAGGTTGTCTGGCCCAGCACCAGGTTTCCTCAAAGCGCGTTGTATCAGTTAGCACTGTTGTGGAACAGATCACCCTAGAACTTAGTGGCTTAGAATAATTTGTTTTAGCCTGTGAGCCTGTGGCGTGGCCTGGCGGTTCTGCTGGGCTTGGCTTGCTCACATGTCGGGCTCAGCTCTGCTCCCGCGTACTCGCTCACCCTCTAGCAGCCTAGCCGAGGCTTGGTCAGATGGCAGTGCAGCAGAAACCCAAGGGTGAGGGCAGAGGGGCACAAGTTGCTTTGGTGCCTAGGCTCTGCCACTGTGTAGCATCACTTCACTGCTTTCTGTTGGCCAGAGTAAATCATAGGGCCTGTCCCTGTTCAGGGCACAGGGACACAGATACAGGGACCTGAGGAAGACCGAGCCATTACTGCAGTCTGCCCGTCACAGATGTGTTGTATCTCTCAAGGGCATCGTGGAGAAAATGGATTTTTTTTTTTTTTTTACAAGACCAACTTACTTAATGACGTTGAGTGTAAAATTTCCCTACTGCAGAAATCCCATTTCTTCCTCTGACCAGAAGTTACAGGTCATCTGTTTGCCTTGATCTGGACACTTTTCTCCTTGGTAACTTCTAGGACACACCTTTGTTCTGCAGGTGCACCAAGATCCTTTTGTCGTCGAGTAGTCCCTCTTCCTTTCTGCCTTCATTCCTCATCTTCCCAGATGGGAAGGGCCGTGTCCCTTGCACCTGTAAAACTGTCAACACCATGTTCTTCTCTATGCTGCCCCGTCCTGGGCGCTCGGTACTTTCATCTTGTCTTGGTTGGCCTCTGCAGGGGGTGGTTCGTGGTCCCTTTGTGGCAGACGTGGCGCTGGGGGGTGGAGTCTTGGTTTCTCGTCGCCCTGGGCTGGCAGGAGGCGCAGCTCCCCCATCGCTTGCTGTGCACGCTGTCCCCCTCCCATGACTCGCTGCATCTTTGTTACCTTTAGATATGCTTTCTTCCTTTTTACCTCCCCGCTAGTTGAGTTGGGAATAAAGCTATGCTGTCCACCTTTTCTGGCTGTTCAGTTCTGCTGCCTTTAGATGACTCCTGCAATGCCTTTTTCTAAAGAACACTAGTGAGCTATAAAGAGGAGCTAAGGCAGGCTTTTTCAAGTGTGTTGGCTACAGAAAGGCCTCCATGCTCTCACTGAATTAGCTGCCTGTGTTGAGCGTGCTGTTGAATCAGAAAATGTCGTCTCCTTCCATGTTCTGGGTGGCTGATAAAGGACATAACTGGCCATTTCTTGTTAGAGGATAATATTATTAATTTGTGAAAAATGTGAAAATTATTACTTAGCCTCAGCTTTCAGGGGCAAAAATAGTGACTCTGTTGTGACTGAGTTAAGAAAGTAAGACAATGAAGCAAAACTGAAGGAACAAAACAGCAGCAGACTCAGAGACTCCAAGACGCGACTAGAGGTTACCAGAGGGGAGGGGTGGGGGAGGACGGGTGGGGAGGGAGGGACAAGGGGATTGTGGGGCATCGTGATTGGTGCACATGGTGTGGGGGGGATCATGGGGAAGACAGTGTATAGCTCAGAGAAGACAAATAGGGACTCTGTGGCATCTTTCTACACCGATGGACAGTGACTGCAATGGGGCATGGGGGGATCTCAATAATAAGGGTGAATATAGTAACCACACTGTTTTTCTTGTGAAACCTTTATAAGAGTGTATATCAATACCTTAATAAAAAAAGAAAGAAAGAAAAAAAGAAAGAAAGAGAGAGAGAGAGAGAGAGAGAGGGAGGGAGGGAGGGAGGGAGGAAGCAAGCCAGCATCTTCTGCCAGCCATAATTTTGCTGCCCTCCTGTCGAGAGGACCTCAGAGCTTCTCAGGTTGTGCGGTGGAGGGACTTCCAAGCAGGACTGAGTAATTCTGACTCTGTGCTTCATCACCAGTGTTCCTGGAAAATCCTTAGAAAAGCACCAAGTATTGTAAAGCTTTTTTTATCTTATGGTATTAACTTCTTCTCCCTTGTCCTGAAAGCTTGGTACATTTAATAATGAAAAAAAACGAAGCTCATTCTCAGCACCCTGCAAACTGAGCACAGATGGGGGGATTCCTTCAGGGTGTGCCCAGCTGCTTCTTAACTTTTTAAAAAATGGACCGTCTTTGAGAGCATCTAGGTTCACAGCACAATTGAGCAGCAAGTGCAGAGCTGTCCTGTGCACTCCGTGCCCCAACACCCACACAGCCTCCCCCGTTATCATCATTCTCCACCGAGTGGGACCACTAATGAGCCGACATCAACACATCATAGTGACCCAAAGTCCATACTTTACATTAGCGCTCGCTCGTGGTGGCGTACGTCCCATAGGCTTGGCCATGGTGTCATGATGTTGTAACATGTACCCACCAGTGTGGTATCACACAGAGTAGTTTCACGGCCCTAGTAATACTCTATAGTAATACCCGGCCTCTTTATCCTCTTTCCCCACTGCCTGCTTAGCAACCACCGATGTTTTTAGTGTCTTCATAGCTTTGCCTTTTCTAGAATGGTCTGTAGTTGGAATCACACAGTATGTGGCCTCTTCAGGCTGGCTTCGTTCACTTAGTAATATGCACTGAAACTTCCACCTTGTCTTTCCATAGCTCAATAGATTATTTCACTTAAGTATTAAAGAATATTCCATTGCTTGGATGTACCACAGTTCATCCATTCATTTATTAAGGAGTATCTTAGTTGCTTCCAGGTTTTGGCAATTACAAATAAAACTGCTATAAACATTCGTGTGCAGGTTTTTATGTGAACATAGTTTTCAGCTTCTTTGGGTAAGTACCAAGGAGTGTGATTGCTGAATCCTATAGTAAGAATATGTTTAGTTTTGTAAGAAACTGCCAAACTGTCTTCCAAAGTAGCTGGACCATTTTGCACTCCCACCAGCAATTAATGAGGGTTTCTGTTGTTCCATATCCTCGCCGGCATTTGATGTTGCCATTTTATGGGTTTGGGCCATTTTAAAAGGTGGTGCCTACTTGTTTTAATTTGCATTTCTTTGATGACATATGATATGGAGTATCTTTTCCTGTGCTTATTTGCAGTCTGTATATCTATCTTCTTTAGTGAGGTATCTGTTAAGATCTTTAGCCCATTTTTTAATCAGGTTGGTTGTTTTCTTATTGTTGAGTCTTAAGAGTTCTTTGTGTATTTTGGATAACTGTCTTTTATTAGCTATGTCTTTTGCAAATATTTTCTCCCAATCTGTCGCTTATCTATTCATTCCCTTGACAGTGTCTTTCACAGAGCATTTTTTTATTTGAATAAAGTCCAATTGATTCATTTTTCTTTCATGGATCGTGCCTATGGTACTGTATCTAAAGTCATTGCCAAATCCAAGGTCATCTAGATTTTTCTTCTGTGTTATCTTCTAGGTGTTTTATAGTTTTGCATTTGTATTTAGGTCATCGTTCCATTTTGAGTTCCTTGTTGTGAACATATAAGGTCTGTGTCTAAATTTATTTTATTTTATTTTATTTTGCATGTGGATGTCCCATTGTCCCAGGACCATTTCTTGACTGTCTTTTCTCCATTGTACTGTCTTTCCTCCTCTATCAAATACCAGTTGACTGTATTTGTGTGGGTCTATTTCTGGGCTCTTTACTTGGTCCCATTGATCTCTCTGCTCTTTTGCCAATACCACCTTACTTGGATTACTTGTGGTAAATCTTGAGGTCAGGTGGCTCAGTGCTCCAGCTTTGTTCTCTTCCTTCCATATGGTGTGGGCTACTTTGTTGCCTGTCCATATAAACTTTAGAATCAGCTCGTCAGTATCCAAAAAACAATCTGAGGTGTTTTTTCGGGGCTACATTGAATCTATGGACTAAGTTGGAAAGAAATGACATCTTGATAATATTGAATATTCCTATCCATGAACATGGGACATCTCTCCATCCACTTAGTTCTTTTTTATTTCTTTCATCAGAGTTTTGTGATTTTCTTCATACAGATCTTGAACATGTTTTGTTAGTTTTGTACCTAAACGTTTCATTTTGGGGGATTACTAATGTAAATGGTGTTATTTTTTTCAATTTTTTTTATTGAGTAAAATTGATATATTAGTTTCAGGTGTACAATATAATAATTCAATATCTTGAATATATATTGTGTTTATATTATGAAATGATTACCACAACAAATCTAATAAAAATCCATCACCATACACAGTTACAGATTTGTGTTTCTTGTGATGAGAACTTTTAAGATCTACTCCATTAACAACTTTCCAATATGCAATAACAGTATTATTATCTATAGTCGCCATGCTGTACATGACCTCCCCAGTGGTATTATGTTTCTAATTTCAAATTCCATTTGTTACTGGTGTATAGGAAAGCAATTAACTTTTGCATATTAATCTTGTATCCTGCAACCAGATAGTCAACTTTTTAAATGTTTCTAACATTATACAGTATGGGTGGAATAGATTTTCTTAAAATTGTCAAATGCATTTCACATACATTTTTACTGCCTTTAGGCACAGAGACATCCACCAATCTCCACCAGAAGCTCTGCTACCACGTGCTGGGGACTGATCAGTCAGAGGATGTTCTGTGTGCTGAGTTTCCCGATGAGCCTAAGTGGATGGGCGGCGCCGAGGTATCGTACTGCTCTCAGACTCCCCAGCGAAGACTGGGTCTCGGGGATTGTGTTTATGGATATTCTTGTATGATGACCTTTATGTCCCTGGAGCACATACTCTTTTGTTAAAAATACTGGCATTCAAAATGACTCTTAATAATGTAGATGATGAAACTTTTAACTGTCATCTCAACATAAAAACCTAAACACTGGAAGTATTGGTAAGTATGCATGCTTCTGGTAACATATGTAAAAGTAGAGAATAACAAAGTGAAACAGGAACATTTTGAAACTCAGAATCCTGTTTCTCAGAAGTGAGGAGAGTAGCCTGGCAAAAGTTTTCTTTGCACACGTAAGAACATGGTGGCAGAGAGAGAGGAGAGAGAGTACATGTGTTCTTCTTTGGGCACATAACTGTGTTCTTCCTGCATATTGCTCACTTGTTACACTACTATTGATGCCTTTTTTAAGTTACTATATTTTATTCTGTATCTTGAGAATCCACTGTGAAAAAACTTTGAGGTACTTGGAGTAAGAATTTAACTCTTGGTAGTTCATTTCTGGGTACTGAGAAATATCTTTTTAAAGAAAAAAACATTTGGAATGTTCCAGTGAAGATGGGCTATCCCATTTTTGGTGGAAATGAGAAATCCACTAGAATCGTTTCAGCTCATTGAGACACAGTTCTCTGAGACAGAAATTTGATAAGAAAGGGACATTTTAAATTTGAACTTCTGTTCATGGGTCTGGTTCATTGGTGGATACAATAGGAATCCAGGGTATTTAGTCCATTGCTGTTAATAGGCCTTATTCCAAATTGTCCTTGTATTTATTTGTTTCTCTAGACCAGGGGTTGGCAAACTATTGCCTGCAGGCCAAATGTGGCCTACTGCCAGCTTTTGTAAATAAAGTTTTATTGAAACACAGCCATACCTTTTCTGTACATATTGTCTGCAGCTGCATTTAAGCTGCAATCACAGAGTTGAGGACTTACCACTGGAGATCATGTGGCCCACAAAACTGAAAATATTTACTTCCTGTCCCTTAATAGAAGAAATTGACCATACTTTGATGCAGTGTGTTAAAAGGGACTTACATTTTATTACCTGACTGTGTCCTTTTCTCACGCTTTTCTTTCCCACCTAACTGCCCCCACCACAAGCTTTCCTTGTGTCACTACTGCTGGCATTTCTCTCCCATATTTGTTTTTCTTGACTTTTCTGACTTGATTTGTCAGCTTTTTCCCCTTAGTTTTTATCTTAGCACAGCTTCTCCTCATACCTAAGGCTTCTGCTCATGGTGGATAATAGGTGTTTATTTATAAAATAATGCACATTGTACCTTCATCTGAGTGAAGCAATTAGGGAGATAAATATGCTACAAAAAGGCATTTTAAATGTCAGGTCATGTGTTTCTCTTTACCTTTTTGGTCAGGGAGGTGCTGATGGGGAAAACTGAAAATAATCTAGTTTAACAATCTAATTTTATTCCCTCTAAGTTCTTCCTACAATCAAAGACATGCTGTCCTGGAGAAATTTCTATGCTTCAAAGCTAATCATTTAATTTTAGAACCAGACCTATTTTAATTAAAGTAATATTGTTTGGTTGATAGAGTAACATGAATACTGGAAATAAATGCCAGAGAATCAGTATTATTTTAGTCCATTGGCCTAGTAGAAAACCCGTGGAACACACATGCAGCTCCAATTGCTTGGGTCTGTTAGCATTTCGTTGAAGCAGCTAGCTTTTTTCTCTTTTTTACTTTTTAAAAGATTGTGGTAAAATAGACGTAACATAAAATTTACCAGTTTAATCGTTTTGAAGTGTACAGCTCAGTGGCATTAAGTACATTCACATATTGGGAAACCATTACCACCATCCATGTCTGAAACTTTTTTCATCTTGCAAAGCTGGAACTGTACCCACCAGACGATAGCCCTTCACCGCCCCCCAACCCCATCCCCCAGTCCCAGGAACCACCAGCCCACTTTCTGTCTCTGTGTCTAGGTACCTCGTGTAAATATCATACAGCCCTTGTCCTTTTGTGACTGGCTATCTGACTTCGCATAATGTCCTCAAGATTAGTCCATGTTGTAGAATTTCCTTCCCTTTAAACATTGAATAATATTTCATTGTGTGTATTTACCATTTCTTCTTCACTCATCCATCGATAGGCACTTGGGGTGTTTCCATAGCATTATTGTGAATAATGCTGTTGGGAGCAGCCAGTTATATAGAGTGGAGATATATCACTATATGCATTTAACATAAGTAATATTCCATTTTTCTAGGCAACTGAAAAGAAAAGCAGATTTAATTAGTTTAAGCAAATCCTCTACCATTTGTTAGACAAATGTTTACCTCATGTAACTTGTCTGATAGAATCTTAACCCAAGCCTTGGGGAGGAAGTGATCATTCCATTGCCTGGACAAAATAAAATACCTGCAAGGGTGATGAACTTGGAAGCCCATAGCTGGGACCGCTTACTGGGTGTGTTCGACCCCACAGCGTGTATCTTCTTAGCCACCATGAACTTGGCCTCCCTAGTCAAAAGGAAAGAATTCACACAAAAACATTAACAATGACTATTTAAAGAATGGCAATAACTTAAGGGATGCATCTGTACTGCACAAAATAATAAACGAAAATGGCTAAATATAAAAAAACTGAAGGGACTTATTAATGAGTCCTAAGGAATTTTATATTGGGTTTGGGCCTTAATTAGCAAGTTATTTGGAGGAAGTCCAAGAGAACCAGTGAACTCAGGTGAACACAAACTCAGTGCAGACTTCCCTTAAGTTGTATTCCAGCTGCTTGGCAGCCTTGTTGCAACAGGTGACACCCACAGGTGCCGGCATTGGTGGGGCAGATCCTGCTGACGGTGAGTGTTTCTGTCCTTCCTCACCCCGCTACACGTGCACTTTCTGAGCTGAGAGGACCTTCTTGCTGCCTAGAAGAGCACCCTTTGTCCCTTAAACATGAGGGCTGTAGTTCTGCAGGTGTGAAGCCTTTAGAAGCCTCAGCCTACCCTGAATGGATGGTTCTGTTCCAGGTCAGAAACATCTAGATCATAAAAAGAATCTCGACGCGGCAGGTTCTCGTACCCACATAGGAGGCATGAGGTAAAGCCCAGGGCAGTCCTGAAGCTGGCGCAGCACCCGCTGGCTGGGCCAGAAGCACCACGACTGGCACACAGCTGAGCAGTCACGGCGTTCGCTGGGCTGCAGCCACGGTTTACCAATAGCCTGTACTGAGTGACCTGCACGTACCTTGGAGAAAGCGGGCAAGTCGTCTTCCTAGCCATGCACCAAGGGCATGTGCCACCTTGTTGCTTTATCTTTCAAGCGGTTGCTTTGGGGATTATCGTTTTGACCTAGTATTTCATTAGGACACATAATGGTGTCCGTGAATGGAGAGCAAGTGTTGTGGTGGGCAGGGGGGATGTACCTACCGTGCAAAAGCCAGGAGGAGGTTCTCACTCTGCCTACCTGTGTGGCCTTGGGCAAGTTGCTGCCTCTCTCCACATCTGTTGCCTGCATTTCTCTGGGGCTCTTGCAGCTCTGAAAGTCTGTGGTTGGAGGATTTACCACAGCATCTCATAGATGCTGAAACGGGCTTCCTGGGTGAGAATCAGCCTCTGGATAGGAGAGTGGTGGGGTGCGCAGCGATGGGCTCGTGGGTGGGGTAGGAGGGGCGGGGGCTGAGTGGCCAACTGAGCGCATGGGTGCGTGTGAATTTCTGGGGTGAGCTGCCATCCTCCCCACTCTGGCTGCGCAGTCCAAGTCCAAAGAAGACTTGCCTTTGTAGCCTAGACGCTGTCTCCTCTCTGGAATCTCCCCCCACCAGACTCCCCTCTGCCTTCCCCTACAGACAGGTCTCTGTTGCCTTGGGCAGTCCGTAAGTGATTAAGACACAGCCTTAATATGCCCATAGTCACCTCTGCCCGCATCTTTCCCTAGGAATGACCATCTTCCAGTTGGCAGCACCCATAGTTTTCTGGCCACTTTTGGTTATTAGAATTGTTACTGAAGATCAATTGTGGTCCAACACAAAATATCAGTCTCTGCACCTTACGTGCATCTTTATCTCCCCAGCTCAAGTGCGGTGGGCACATGGGGGCCTAACAGGTAGGGTAGGGACTATTCAGTCCCTTCCTTGGTTATTTAGTTTTTTCCTTATAAAGACTTGGACATGAATAGTCACAGCAGTTTTGTTCAGGTAGCCCCAAAATGGACACAACCCAAATATCTGCTAACAGATGCATGAATGAACAAATGGTGGTACATCCGTACGATGGAATACAACTCCACAGTGTGAAGGGATGGACTGCTGATACACTCAGCCACAGGGATGGATCTCAGTATGACTGTGCTCAGTGAAAGAAGCCAGAAAAGAGAGAGTACATAGTGTTCAATTCCACTGATAAAACGCTCTCTAGAAAACGCAGACTAGGCCGTAATGGGACAAAGTGGATCAGAGGTTGCTTGGGATGGGGGCAGGGAATGTGAAGAACAGGAGGGGACTTCGGGGGGTGACTTGCCTGGAACAGTGGACTGGCATTTTACAGGTAGGACCATTCTGAGCCATGACAAGACCTCCAGTTCCCTCCCCGTGATTATTCATCGTGGACCAGTGTTCGCAGTGGTCACCCAGGGAGGGCGAGTCAGAGAAGGGGCACAGGGTCTTAGGCGCCAGAGCCATGTGTTGTCTCCTGGTTCCTCGCTGTCATGACGTGCGTCCAGGTGCCAGCTCCTTGACGTGTGTCATGGCTTCTTGTTGCAGTGAAATCCCCTCAATTCTGGGAACCTCTGTTCTGTGATCCCTTATGTGGATTAGAAACTGTGGCTGACCTTTTGCATTGCCCCCCGAAGTTTCTGCTCCCGGCAGGATTCACCTGAGTTCATGCCACTCTGCGCTCCCCTTCTCCATCCTTCAGCAGGGACTGTTCAAGATGGCTGGAGGCCAGCCGGCTGCCTCTGGTGCCTCTGGTCCCAGGGGAGGCTCCACCCTGCAAGGG